CCTCCGTGGATACAATGTAACAGCCGGATGTCATTGTTCCATGTCCCAGGTGTGAGGAATGTGTTGTGGAGATCTGTCTTCCTGGAGACATACATACATTGGGATCAAACACACACATCGAGATCACACATACACAGGGATCACACACATTCATAGGGATCACACACATACACAGGGATCACACACATACATAAGGATCACACACACACACATAGGGACCACACACATAGAGATCACATACATACATAGAGATCACACACACATACATAGGGATCACACATACATAGGGATCACACACACACACACACACACACACACACACATAGGGACCACACACATAGAGATCACACACACACACATAGGGATCACATACATAGAGGGATCACACACATACATAGAGATCACACACACATAGGGATCACACACATACATACATACAGAGGGATCACACACACACACACACACACACATAGAGATCACACACACACATAGGGATCACATACATAGAGGGATCACTCACATACATAGAGATCACACACACACACACATAGGGACCACACACATAGAGATCACACACACACATAGGGATCACATACATAGAGGGATCACATACATAGAGGGATCACACACATACATAGAGATCACACACACATAGGGATCACACACATACATACAGAGGGATCACACACACACACACACACACATAGGGATCACACACATAGAGATCACACACACACATAGGGATCACACACATAGAGGGATCACTCACATACATAGAGATCACACACACATACATAGGGATCACACATACATAGGGATCACACACATACATACAGAGGGATCACACACACACACACACACACACACACATAGGGATCACACACATAGAGATCACACACACACATAGGGATCACACACATACATACAGAGGGATCACTCACACACACACACACACGGATCACACACATAGAGATCACACACACACATAGGGATCACATACATAGAGGGATCACACACATACATAGAGATCACACACACATACATAGGGATCACACATACATAGGGATCACACACATACATACAGAGGGATCACACACACATAGATCACACTCAGGACTTCCAGGCAGGCTCCGGGTGGAGCGGGGCGGGCTGCGGTTGGGATCCGCCTCAGCAGTGATGTCGGGCGGCTCCTCCCTGTCGGGGTTCCCGGTCTTTGGAGGAAGCCGGAAGGAGTCGGAGATGGAGCGGAGTGTGGATGTGATCCGGCAGCGGCTGGGGAAGGTGAGTTCGGCGGCCCGCACCGTGTACCGATCACCCGTCATGTGTCCGGACTCTGCACTGTGATCGTGGGAGGTCCCCGGGTGTCCCGGTACTGATCACATGACTTAGTTCTGATTGTGGTCCCATCACCTGTATACTGGTCACTGGACTCTTCCCAGTATCTGCTGGTCCTGGGCATACTGGGCGCTCATAGACGCAGCTTTGGGATCCACTTTGGGACAATTATGTAAAAAGGGTCCCAGTGGCTGGAATTAGAGTGTCAGCTCCTGGGACGAGGCAGATTTTCAGGGGCAATCACATTGAGTTGCGCTAAATTGCTTTTGTCTGGACTCAGCATCGCCTTCCCGCCATTGCATGGCAACACATATACCATAGTGCAGTGGGGTGCAAAGACATTCATTTGCAATAGCATCCGCATTGGAACCCACCCATAGTGCATTGGAGGGAGATACCCCAACCTGGGGGGTAATGTTCAGTACACATAAAATCCAATATGGAGCATGCTGATGGAAGGAGAGAGCAGAGTGACCAAGAGATGAGCTCATCACTTTGCTGCTTCTCCTTTCACTTCACTGTCCAATCACTGACTCCTTATAGGTTGGGGAAGCCAATCAATTGTGCTGGAGTGCTCATGCGGCTCCTTTCATTGTCCAATCACGGGCTGGTTGAGGGGCAAGACCTGTAACTGCTACTGAACTGCAACAGAGCAAAATCAGGGCTCCTGCCCTTCCAAACAGTGCTGAGCTGTGCAAATCCCGGGACTGGATGGGCAGAATGTATATATGCATTTCACAGAGCAAAGTCTCGATAAGATTCATATTCTGCCTGTAACCCCATTGGGGAGATTCCCCTTCACTTCCTCTTCCTGTGACACCTCTACAAGCAATGGGGAAGTGGTTGTCACTGAAAGAGGAAGGCAGCGTTGTCACTGTCGGCGTTCTGTTTCAGTCTGTGTCCCTGTCGGGGGAGATTCGCCGTCACTTCCTGGATTTCCAGCAGCTCGCATTGTTTTATTGATGAACCTCCATGAATGTCATTGTTACAATGTATCCAGTTCTGATCATGTGACCAATGACATCACAGGTGCCGGTCCCATGATTGGCATTAGTATGACTCATATGGGTGATCCGGTGAATGCGGAGCTCCTCCTCCTTTTGTATCAGCTCAATCCTCAATTTGTGTCCTGACTTGAGGGCCGGGGAACCCGAATCCCCCGGACCTGGTGCCCCAATCAGCAACCTGGGGCCCTTTCTGCGGGGCCCCTGCCGACAGAAAACTGTCTTCCCCCCCCCATGCACAATAATAGCAGTCTCATGGCAGATCTGTAGTCTCTGACCATCTCTTGCAGCATGCCCGTAGTCTCGGACCATCTTCTGTGGCATATCTGACAGCATTACCTGACTATGATGTGTGGCCCTTTGGTGATGTGAAGGGTCAGTGTGATATTCCCCGCATGCCCTGAACCAGGAACGTTCGCTAAGTAACATACAGAACGGACTAAACCTAGAATTGGCCTCACACATTCCATTACCAGAACCTGTTCAGTCTGACAGTCATCCTGATTGGATGTAAATAAAAGGGTTAGTTCACCTTTATTAAACAAATCCCCGCGCAGTCCCGCCTCCCCACTACATTAAAGTGTTTTTTCAATGGACACATCTTATAAATGGCCTTCCTCTAGGCTGCGAGCCATTCATGAGAAGCTTCCATTTACATAACTGTGCTGTGATCTTTAGAAAGAGAACTATGGGGTCAGTGATTTTCCCCCATAGTTCTCCTTAGGGTAACGGGAGGACACAAACTAGCGTCTTCCCGTCACCCAAAGCTCAGTATATAGGGAGCTACGGCTCGCGGTATACTGAGACCGCCGCAGCCGGGACGGATCCCGACAATGCTGTCTGGATCCGCCCAGCTGCGTGAGTGACAGCTGGCTCTGCCTATCTAGAGGCAGAGCCAGCTGTACCCGCCCCCTCCCCCGTCCGTTCCTCCAGTCAGCGCGCGGGGGGGGAATCCCTGCAGGGAGCTGTGACAGTCACCGCTCTCTGCAGGGAGATGATCGAGAAGTGAGCGAGCGACGGTATGTGTTCCCGATCTATGGAGCCGACCTGTGACAGTCTCATTGCCAGGCGTCGGCTCGAGCTATGACGATGACTGATCTCCCCTCCCCTCATAGTCCTCCTGTCAGACTGGTCACATTGTATCCTGGATCCGCGTGCAATATGTTGCCGTTGGAGGTGGAGCTGCGAGTTGTAACGATTGATAATTGATTTCCTCGCAGTACAAATTTCGGGACCTGACGGTGGAAGAGCTGAAAGATGTCTACAAGGTCCTTCCTGGCTTCATCTACTCCATGGACACCTACAGTAAGTTGTATGAGGAGGGGGGGGGGGAGGGTCAGGGACCTGCTACACTCCCCGGACTCCAAGAACCTCCCCTCCTGTTATTGTAATAAACCTAAAAACACAAATGTCATATATCAGCTTCCCAGTCCTCAGATGTGGCGGCTGCATTAGTTTTCCTTTTTCCGGCTTTTATTTCCACCTGGAGATCTACCAGTAATGTACTTCCTGTCCTAGGGTGACAACGCTCACTGAAGTGCTGTCTGTGGAGAAGCAGTGTTGTTAACCCAATGTAGGAAGGGTGTTAGGCCTGCAGAACATCTTCTGCTAGCCTCCATAACATAGAGGGGGAGGGGTTCTGTAGCCCTCAGATAAGTCGGCACAGGAAGTCATCAGCTCAAAAGATTTCTGGCAGGATCAACGGCGCTTTTTGAACAGATATAGCAAAACACTTTCAGTGGTATATTTAACAGACCCAAAAAAGAAGCAGATAAGAGAAGTTCAGTGTCCACTTTTAGCCGCCATTCACGCCTGACCGTTTCCTGAAGTGTGACAACACTCATCATGAAGAATCCGATCACTCTCAGTGGTGGTCAGTCCCCTGCCCCCCCTCCCCCCAGGGATCGTGTCCAATGTTACCTTCAGCTTGATAAACTACCTGAGCTGTTTTAGGACAAAATTGTGTTTTTGGCCCCACAGACTTCAATGGCAGCGCCTGCAAACCGCACATACGCCATTTCTTTTGGTGCAATTTCACGCCTGATAAGCGTCTCCGCCTCCTCCTAGTAACTAACTTCTTATTGGCTAATGCAAAAAATACTCAAGCCTGTAAAAATGTGTGAAAACAGAGCAAAGAAGCGAAAAAGAAAAAGTGCTATTGGGGCCGCAGGTTTTTAGTAGAGATGCACCGATACCTGTACTGCCGCTAGCATGGAGGCCGGCTTCCCGACCAATCAGCAGCGAGCCGGCCAAACAGAATGAAGCCGGCTTCCCGGCCAATCAGCAGCGAGCCGGCCAAACAGAATGAAGCCAGCTTCCTGGCCAATCAGCAGCGAGCCGGCCAAACAGAATGAAGCCGGCTGCCTGGCCAATCAGCAGCGAGCCGGCCAAACAGAATGAAACCGGCTTCCCGGCTAATCAGCATCGAGCCGGCCAAACAGGAAGTCGGGCGGCTAGTCATTACCCGATGCCTGGCTTCCTGATTGGCGGGGAAGCCGGCTCCATGTTCCCTTGGCACTGTCTGTCAGAAGAAATCTTACGACGGGAAGTTCCGGTATCGGGGGAAAGTATCGGAGCATTTGGGCCAGTAGTCGGTGTCGGTGCATTCCTAGTTTTTCATTTGTAAACAATCAGAAGGTGTTTCTATCGGAACCATTCCAAATATTTCTCATTTCTCTTCTTTCGTTATTGTATTTTCCTGACACGAAGTGTTCATAAAACATCTGCCGCCTGATATAATCATGATATAGAATACCCCCTCCATACCCTCCCCTCTAGGAGGAAGCATTTCCTCAGTCTTCCCTCCTCCAGTGATCAGGCTGCTGCAGGGAGGAAGAAGCATTTCCTCAGTCTCCCCTCCTCCAGTGATCAGGCCGCTGCAGGGAGGAAGAAGCATTTCCTCAGTCTCCCCTCCTCCAGTGATCAGGCTGCTGCAGGCAGGAGGAAGCATTTCCTCAGTCTCCCCTCCCCCAGTGATCAGGCCGCTGCAGGCAGGAGGAAGCATTTCCTCACTCTCCCCTCCCCCAGTGATCATTCTGCTGCAGGCAGGAGGAAGCATTTCCTCACTCTCCCCTCCCCCAGTGATCAG